CTGCCGTCAACCACCCAGCATTTATTCAATCTGACCAAATATTGTAATTATCCCCTCTCTCTCTCTCTCTCTCTCGCCCGGGCCAGCCAGTCCCCCTCTCCTCCACCGACACCCCCTCCCTCCCTGTCTAACCTTTCCAGTGCCAAGTTCACCAATAGAGAGAAAGTACTTCCTGTGAGAGTCCGGGCCAACTGCCAGAGAGACTGATCCACCAATCTGACATGTTAATGAGATCCTGGCCCATAGTGGTGGAGTGTCGGGCCTTCTCCACTGTAGCATCAGCCCTGCTCGTGACCTGCGAGCCAGGATCACACACACACACAAATGCTCCCACAAATGCACTTTCATGCGTAATTTTTTTTCACACAAGCATCCAGAGATAGATATTAACACACATCTACATGCATGTACACACACACACACAGACAAATACACACTTTAAGAGTGGAGGGTGAGGGGGTTCAGCTCCTTAAATCTGTCTAATTAAAACACCAAATCCCTCTACTCCCCTCACCCACCAACACAATCCCCACTTCCCAGCCACACATACACACACACACACACACTTGCTCCTACATCCCTCCTCCTCCTCCTCCCCCACTGCCACCACCCCCGATTCCGCAGGAGAAATGATTATTAGGAATTTAATGGGGGAACGTTTCCCATCCCACACCATCTGGGGCTTGGGAATGGCAAAAAAAAAAAAAAAAAATTTTGAGGATGCTTGCCGATATGGAGAGGAGCATTATTTTCATTTTACTCCTTTCAGATATTCAGACGCTGCAGCAAAGGAAGAAGTGACTGGAATGAATTAGCATGTTGTGTTGAAATTTAAATAAAAATGCATACATAAGAAAGCGTGTTTGTTTTTCTGTTTTTGTTTTTTTGTTTTTTTTTCTGATTAAATATAACTTTGGCCAACTTCTGAGATGATCCTGAAACTTATCGCCATAGGAACCCTGTTTGTTTGGCACCAATTATGACACATCTCAGATGGCAAACGCACCTTTATATGATATATATCCTCCATTCCTATCCTTCACCTCCCACACAGTGCTGAGCCATATGCTCCCTCTCTCTCTAGTTCTCTTCCTCTCTCTCTCTCTCTCTCTCTCTCTTCTCTCAGCTTAATGAGCTGCATGAATGTAGGGCTACGTGTACACATTTGACCCGGTGTTAAACTGCAGCATGCTGCCCCGTGGACCCTGGCTATGTGAAACAACCTCCTCCCACCTCTCCTCCTTCCCCACCTCTTCCTCCCGCTCCCCATCATCCTCCTCACCCATGTAAGCTTTCATGTATAGGTCCCAGTGGGATTTGAACCCTCCTCCCCAAAACACACATGTGTATACATAACTATATGCACATGCACGCAGCAGAGGAGGAAGGCACTGAGGTTGATAAGGTGAGGTGGGTGTGGGAGGGGGCTTCAGTGCTCCAGTGGGACGTCAAACAACCTGGTCCAGCAAATAAGGGACTAGAGAGACCAAAACACATGACCTTAAAAAGAGATACATTATTATAAACAAGAAGTCGCTACTTCCAAAAAAAATTACCAATTACATGAAAGTAACTTTATAAATATATATATATATATATCACATTGCAGTAATGTATTCTGCACCAAAGACTGTAGTTATTCTGCCAACAGTGGTGAAAACTAAGAAGAAAGAAGATGTTCTCACTGACAAGCAACAATATCCACTGAAAAACAACGTCTCAGAAAAGCTAACAATGAGTTCATCAACAGTCGTGACAGGAGTCATTTGTATATTTGTGACGGACCAGTGATGTGATGTATCACTCTGATGGTTTTTTTTCCTGTGAAGACACAGATTCATGTCAATAGACCATATTTAAACAGGGGAGTGGTAGTTGTCTCATTCTGCACAAATCACAACTGTGTGAGAGCAGTGCAGCTCCGTCTCCACGTTTAATCAAACTGGCTTCTTGATAAATATTACTGATGTATGTATTGTAGTTTTCAATACACGTTTATAGAGTGTACCAAAAGTTATGGTACATGATGGGTGGATGGAATAAAAAAAAATACAATTCTAAAGATTCTAATTCATTATCATATTTGAAGCTACAAAACCAACTGATTCTGATTTTATTTTTTTCCTCTTCTTCCACCTGCTCCATGTCTCAGTTCAACCAATAAACCGTCATTAATGAGAACGCAGTATTCCATTGACTAGTTGCAGAGAGCATTGATGATTTGGGAAGATGATGTACTGCCTCCGATCATCATTAGCTGGCCTTTAGCAAAACAATATTAATCAATATCTAAAGTTAACTCGTCTCCTGTTAGGCAAATGTGTTTTGTTGCAGCTGCAGCTGCGGCGGAGAGATGAAAATAAATGGTGGGCCACATGGTGGATATTAGTTTTCAGAGGCGTCAGTTGTAATTTCATTAGCGCATTTGTTATTGTTGTAGAGGTGAACTTGCCTTTCTAAACAAATTACCGAGCGGCCAGACCCCTTCTTAAACTCAATGAAATTACAAACAGGTTGTCAATGTCCTAACAGGCAGGTGCTGAACATTATTAGTGGTAATGACTGCGGTGCTGGAACCACAGCAGCACGTCAGCATGAAGGAACGAGACCTTCGACGTCCAAAACTTTAGTAATAATAATAAAATGGAAATTTAATATGACTGAAGAGGAAACGTGAATAAAAATGTTATTCTACTGAGAGTATCGCTGAATTAATACATCTCAGTCAGTGCTTTACCGTAAACTAATCAAGAAACATGTTGTCACTAAAATATGAAACGTGAAGGAGCCATTCCAAATCATTTTTCTTTTTTGTTAACTTAGCATGTTATAAAATAAGGGTTTTCAAAAGGGGGTCTGTGGCCCGTAGGGCATCCACAAAGATCAAAGTGTTTTAAATAAATGAGAATGTCAATAGTTTGGTATTCACTACAAAACAGTACTTCAGTACTACAACTAAAGAGCCGTGCGTCATCCCTCCATCGCTGTGGGTCTGACATTTGAAGACCACTCCTCTAAATCCTTGATGTGAAGTCAAAAGTAAAAATATGCTAATTATATAAACATTTTATCTATAAGAAGCAGTGACTAATGAACTTCAGAACTAGAAGTAGTTTACTGTCAATCCAAGTTCAATGATCCACAGAATACAGAACAAAAGTGTCAGAGGTAAAAAAAAAACCCAAACAAACGAGTGATTTAAAAGGAAAGGGAGGAAATTCAACAACAGATGAAATGCAGCCTAAGACTGAATAACTGCCAACAGGCGATATGGAACGACTGGACCCAGTCTGAAAACGAGGACTTGTGTTTTTGGGACAAATCTAAATTCTTTATAATACTTATAATATCCCTAAAAAACATTAACAGATTTACATAAAACAGAGAGTGAAGTTGGTGAAGAACTCTCTACTGAAACCTCAACGTAAATATTATTGTGGTCTGGAATATGATCCAGATTGATCCGATTCCACAGGAAAGTGCACAGTGAAGATATAAGTTGAACAACGCAGGAGATATGTTTAAAAGTTCTTAATAAAAACCAATACCAGTCCGAACAATGTTTTTAAAAATGGCTGATCAGAAAGAGGAGCAACTAACTGCGGCCTAGATATTACTGAGGGTTTAGTTATTTCATTACCATCTTACGTTAATAAAAAAATGATTAAATTAAGTAAAATTATAATCGAAAGAAAGATTTTTTTACTTAATAACAAGGGAATGTTTTGATCATATTATTAATTTAATGTTACCGAAAATAAAAGTATTTAGCAAATAGAGAAAAATAAATGTTGTTGTTTATGTTTTCTGCCGTTCAAATCAGAACAGAGAGGATGGAAATAATGAAGAAGAAGAAGAAAAGAAAATGATTTTTTCTTTTTTTTTCTTTTTTCCGTCTTTTTGGAGTCATGTCAATTGACGCCTCTCCCTCCAAATAACAGCGCCGCTCCTGGGAGTAGCACTTCTCTTCCTACTGAAAGCCCTGGGATCAACTGTCTGAGCTCTGTGGCTGACATCCAACCCCTCCTGGGCATCGGTGACACAAATCAAGCACCTGATCGACTGAAATTAAATCACACCACTGAAAATCTCAACTTTAAATCCATGACACTGTGGAGAAAAGCTGCTGCAGCAGGATGGCCCTGTCTCTCCACAAATTATTT